CCCGTGTCCTCTCAGTAATCAGAGTGACTGCTCTGGGAGTTATTCTCTAGCTCTGGGCTTTTCCTTTTCAAGAAGCTGTTTGTTAGCCAGGAAACTCTGATCAAAGTACTGCATTTGCGTTCCCTGAGTGCTGGGCAGGGCTGTGTGACATTAGCCCTGTTACCTCCCTGAGCTTTCCCAGATCAGGCTGCAGAAGCTAGGTTTAGCACAGAGTAACCACTAGAACCACAGGACTACCAAGTGAGCCCAGCTGCCAATGTTCATGGCCAGCAGACAGACAAGGCCCCACGGGCTCTAGCCAGCAAAGAATGATATCTTCTAAAGTACCCCAGGGCAAAAGTTCCCCTTGTACAAAACTAGGTCATTTCATCTGTGCAGGCACCAAAGTGTCTGGAATATTATGCAACTGTTTGTTATAACAATTCCACTTATTAATACAGATTTTTTCCTGGATTTGAGACACTGGGCTGTTCTGTTAACAATGTGACTTTTAGAGACAAGTAGATCTCTGTATCTGGATTTAAATCTAGGTTCCATTATTTATAAGTATGCTGGTGTCACAGTGATTCAAGCACTCAGCTACTAACAGAAAAGTTGGTGATTTGAACCCACCAGCCCCTCCATGGGAGAAAGATGTAGCAGTATGCTTTTGTAAAGGTTTATAGCCTTGGAAACCCTATGGGTCAGTTCTACTCTGTCCTATGGTGTTGCAAGGAGTCAGAATTAACTTGAGGGCAGTGGGTGAGGTTGGATGATTCATTTAACCTTTCTGAACCTGTTTCCTCATGTGTTAAAATGGGAATAATGGGGATAATAATACCGCTTCAAATGGTAGATGTTACCACGGATGATGATTAAATAAAATATCACATTGTAGATGCTCAATATTTCTTTCTGTTTCTAAGGGAAAACTATTCTTCTTCCCAATGTTCGTTATCAACTTTGGATCTTGCCCCTCCACACTCCTCAAGTAAATTCATATTCCAAAGAGACAAAAATATGCATTTTTGCCTAAATATATATTTTAAAGCATCTCCTGTTGACAATTTAAATGAAACCTACCTGAATTTTTTCATTGGAGACTGCTTTTCTTGAGCAGTAGCCAGATGACCAGAATAGTAGACTGGGAAAAACATAATGTTCCAGTTTGTTGAAAACCAAGTCATGAAAAATGGACAGTAGAAGTTCTTATAAGTAATTTTTACAATCTGTGTGGTTCCAACCCAGGATGATGACACTGACAAGATGATCAAGAGTCCCCAGATGGCCTTCAGAACCATGGATGTGCATGACTGGCAGCGGGCTCTGATTCTGTTTTCTTGGCTGTTGTTCTCAGGATGAGTAGTCTGTGTCCCATCATCCCCTGAAAACAGAAAAGGGATACAAATGTGTGGAAATTAGGTCATAAATCAGCACTGAAATGTTCCTGAAAAAGGTGGCTGAAACTGAAGAAGCAGAAAGTAAAACTCAAACCAAAAAAAAAAAAAATGCACTGCCATTGGGTCAGATCCGACCCATAGTGACCTCTCCTTGAGTTTCTGAGGCAGGATCACTATGGAAGTAGATTGCTCAGTCTTCCTTCTGAGGAATGGCTGGTGGGTTTGAACCATCAGCCTCCTGGTTAGCAGTCAAATGCTTTAGTCACCACGCCATCAAAGCTCCTAAAGTAGAACTACCTGTGGGCTCCCCGCCCCCCACTCATAGCAACCCCTCCTTGGGTTTCCAAGGTATCACTTTGGAATTAGATTACCCAATCTTCTTTCTGAGGAGTGGCTGGTGGGTTTGAACTGCCAGCCTCCTGGTTAGCAGTCAAATACCTTAGGCACTATGCCACCAGAGTACCCATTTTCTTTTTGAAAGCTACCATCCTTTTAAGAGGCTGATATATGGCTGAATCCCTGCCCTGTAAGGTACAATAAGTATCTAGACTCCCATCCAAACCATGAGAATGGTCACAAATTGTGGTGAATGGTATGTTCTTCTCCAAGCAACCCTGTAGGATAGAGTAGAACTGCCTTACAGAGTTTCCAAGGCTGGAAAGCAGACTGCCACATCTTTCTTTTATGAAGTGGCTAGTGGGTTCAAACTGCCAACCTTTTGGATAGCAGCTGAATGCTTAATCACTGGACCACCAGGGTTCCTCTTCTTTGTATTAACATCACATTCCCATACCAAAGACTTTGGGCTTGGCCATGTGACCTGCTTCATCCAATCAAACGTGAGTAGATGTGAGCCACTTTCTAGCAGAAGCTTTAAGAAGCATCACAAGGGTCCACCAGCTGTCTTGCTCTTCCCCTCTGTCCCTACAATGGCAAATCCCAAATTGGGGATGTTCTTTTGGTCTGTGTCAGGGAATGAACAGAACTCAGCCAAAACTGCCCTATATCCATCAACATGAAAAGTAAGTGAGAAAGAAATATTTATTGTTATAAGCCACCGAGATTTTTTTGTTAAACTATAGCAAAGAGGACTACTAAATTGAAAGCAATGTGTCCCAAGAGCAGGAGCAAATCCTGACTACATAAAGCCATTTCCCACCTCAGAAGAAACTACTATTTAATAGTAAATAGAAGCATAGTGCCTAAGGCACTTGACTGCTAGCTAGAAGGCTAGTGGTTCAAACCCACCAGCCACTCCTCGGAAGGAAGTTTGGGCAATCTACTTCTGTAGTGATACTGCCTTGGAAACCTAAGGAAGGGTTGCTATGAGTCGGGTCCAACTCGATGGCACATAACAACTGGGAGCAACAAGGAACATAAGGAATCCATGTACCTATCAGGCAGTTAAAGGGTAGCAGAAGTCACCCTGAGTGCCTGAGGACACAGATTGTGGAATCCTGAGGAATGGGAGGCAGAGTTGTCTCCAAGATTCTCTTGCGTCTCCAGGTACCTGCTTTAAGCACAAGGTCTATCCTGGAGATTAAGAAGTAGTGCATTGCACTGACTCCAAGGTGGTAGTAGATGGGTGTATCACTCTTCAGAACCTGCTGGGCCTCTTGCTGGTTGTGTTCCTGCTACTTAATATGCCAGGCTGTCATGCCCCACTGCCTCATAAACTTTTACATACCTAAGGCAGAACCACAGCTTTTTGGTAGAAACATACTGTGAGGAGGGAAAAGAGTAAGCCTTGAAGTAGATTCCTCAGTAGAGAATATAAGCCGAGGAAGTATGAACACAGCAGTTACTACATGACTTCCAAGTCTAATATACAGTATGATGACTCAAGGCAGAGCCTAGGGCTGCTGAAGATGAAGACTGGTATTCTTCTATTCGTTTATTCAACAAAATCTTATCTACCAGGAGCTGGTTAGCTAGCTGAGTCTTAAGGGTTCAATGATGAAAGTCTTGCGCTCACCCACATACTACCACCTTGGAGTCGGTGCAATGCACTACCTCTTAATCTCCAGGATAGTGGAAAAAGCAAAAACACATCAATGTATGCAATATTGTGTGATGAGGGCAAATTCTGACAGGTACTAGGACCATATGTGGGCAGAGGGGAAGTATTCACTAAGGGATGAGGTAGGAAATGATCAGGAGAATCTTCCCTGATAAGTGACATGGAGCTGAGTCTGGAAGTAATAGTCAGCTGCCTCATGACTGTGTAGAGATGATACCTGTTCTTGATAATAGCTCTGCAAATTCTCTCCATGACTTTATGCAGAGAGTAGATTTGAAAAAAAGAAAAAAAAAAAAAAGAACTAAGATGAATAAAAGGGTAGAGTAAGAGACCTTTATGATGTTGAGAAGCCATGAAAGAAATACAAAACTACCCTGTGAAGTAGGTATTTTCATTCCCATCTTGTAGATGAAAAAACTGAGATTTGTATTAAGAGTTCTCTAATGTCACTGAGGTGTAAGAAATTACTTAGTGTGACTTTTCTATCCGTAAGTTTTTGTAAACTCCGAGGTAGAATTTGCCATGAGCTACTGAGGAGCTCCTGATTGCTAAAGTTGCCCACCTGGGGTATTTCTGTTGGGAGTGGCACAAAACAATGTTCTGGGAGGTTCCCGCTCTCTCTCAGGTGCTTAGAATTCTGATGTTAAGATTGGTTGGTTTGCCCACTCTGCCGGGCTCAAAAGGAGGCCTCCTAGAGGCAGAACTCTCTCTGACTGTTGGCTGAGGAAGGACACGCTCCTGAGACAGGCGCTGCTGGGAAAGAGATGCAAGAGACATGCATTGCTGAGTGAGACACCGAGGGACATGCACAGTTGAGAGAGAGACTGTGTGAGACTGTTAGGAGAAAGACCATGGGCTGGGAGAGAGACTGAGTGTTTTTCCTGAACTTGAATTGTAGCCTGGTGCTTCCCTAATAAACCCCATAATCTGTGAGTTCTGTGTGGCCACTGCAGCGAATTATCGAACCCAGGAGAGAGGTGGTGGGTGCTTTGGGAGGAACGGTTGGTGAAAGGGCTGGAGGGAGGTGGTGTGTCTGGCCTTGCAGTAATAGGCCTTGGGCTATTGATGGCGATTCTGTCTTCCTCTTGTGGGGTTAGAGGAGGTCAGAACATGTGGCCTCCTTGCCTTTTTTGTACTCAGATAACTGGTACCATAGTGAACCCAAGACAATATGACTTCAGTGTCCAAATGCTTTTATTCTGAATATTCCATGATGGTACAGCTTTCTGCCTTGAGTCCCTTTTTAAGCACTAGAAGTTTCAGAAATAGTTTAGAGAAAAAAATTCTGTTTCCTGAAAGGTATGGCAGTCTTACATGAGGTTTGAGAGAAGTGATACTTAAAGAGGAGGGTGTACACTTTCCCCTGTTACACTTTAAGTTGTATTATTTTGAGGGACTATCTCATAAAGGAGGACTGATTCCACAAAGATTTCAAGTATCCTTTTCAAGTGATGGCTGCCTTCATTGTCACCTTCTTTGTAGATTACTTCTATACTAACTTCATCAGTGTTTTTGACAACACCAGTAGTCACCTAAACCTCTCCATAGTATTGACCCATTCTTCTGTTCATTACATTTCATTGTTGCCAGTTGAGGTAGTTATTTCTGTGTGTCAACTTGGCTGGGCCTGGTTGAGTGGCTGGGCAGCTGGTGGTAGTTATTCCCCGTGATGAGACTGGCTATCAACTCCATGGTGGGATCTACCAAAAGCAGCTGAGTAGCTGCCTTTGGGATGTGGTCTGCTTCCTGTATATAAGGAGAAGCCTTGGGAATGGGCTCTAGCCTATGGCACACTTGGATGCTGCCATATAGCCGTGTTGTTGCTCAGCAGCCTGCTATGCTCTGCCGACCTTGGGACTTACAATGGACTTAAGTTAATGGCCTGCCGTGTAGTTTGGTAACATTTGAACTGTGCCTTTTTACTTGTCAACCTTGGGGCTTCTCAGCCTCAGCATCCAGCAGCTGTCTGAGTGAAGAAACACCTCTAGCTCCAGTGGTCCGGGAGCAGGAGGCAGAGCTGGACCCCAAGGTTGAGGGGCTTTCACCCAGCCCCTAGAGCCTGGCATTTTGAACTTGGACTTAAAACTTCCAAACTAAGAGACTAAACTTCTGTTTGTTAAGGCCATCCCATTTGTTGTACATTCTTGTCAGAGTGGCACTAGGTAACCAGAACACCAATTTAATTTCACAAAGCCTCAAGACATTGTGTCATCACAGCTCTTTTCTTTTTCTTGACCATTTGAAACATGATTCTCTATAGTCCTGCTTGGTTTATAGTTATATATATATGTATATCATTAAAATTGGTTTATCAGGCATTCTATTCATTTGTCTGAGCCCTTACTGGAGCTATAAAACTGATGGCAGAGGCCACTGGGATTTGGAAACATGAACTTAAGTGTTAGCCCTGCTGTTGTATGGCCTTGAGTACATTGCTTAATTTTAGTCTCAGCTTCCTTATCTGTCATGCAGTGATAGTATATATCTTCTGGGATTCATTTGGAGGTTACCCACTGCTATCAAGTTGATTCCAACTCATAGCAATCCTATAGGATGGAGTAGAACTGCTCCATAGGGTTTCTAAGGCTATAACTCTTCACAGAAGCAGACTGACTCATCTTTCTCCCATGGAGAGGCCAGTAGGTTCAAACTGCTGACCTTTTGGTTAGCAGCCAAATGCTTTAACCACTGCATCATCTGAGCTCTTTATTTTGAGGTTAAGTACCGTGATATTCAGTACTCTGTGTGTGGTGACCTGCTACTCTTCAGATTATTCCTTTCTCTCTCTCTGTGATGCACTAGAATATCCCCAAGTGCCTTCTGAATCATCAAAGAAAGAGTAAATTATGTTCCATGTGATCTTTAATGGTACAGTCTTTGAAATGTGGGAAATGTGGTAATCTGTGTATGATAGATTGGGCAAGTCACTATTAACCAGCATATTTAATTAACCAGAGCATTCTATTCCACAGACAACTGGCATAACTGGAATATTATTGTAATTTATAAATGCCAATTAACCCTTTCTGAAGATTTAAGATGTAATTTTCTTTAAGAGTTTTGGCCTCAGAGTTCATAGGGTTGTTAAGACACCATTAAAAAATGATCTCTTTCTGAAAAACACCTTTTCTCTAAAAGTAAACAAAAAGCAAAACTTCTCATATCAGTAGGATATTAGAAGAGGTGTTCATATCTCCTCTATCCATTTGTTTTATGCCTCTCCCACTTGTAATTGGAAGTCTCCTGACTTCTGTTTTTGAAAAATGTAAGTCATTTTTCTTGAACAATGAAAGCCATTTTTCTTTTTCTTCTTTTTTTTTCAAGCCAGTTTTCTCTAAGGTCTTTTTTGGTTTGTTTTCACTACCCACTTATACAGGATGGCATGTTTTGTTGTGGCTTGTTGTTATGGTTGTAAAGATGAAAGAGGTTTTAGCATGTTGCTGGCCAAACTGAAGGAACCAGCATACCTGATCTGTTGTGTCTTCCAATCCATGTGGGAGAGATGGACAGGAGGCAGCCATGGACATAGGTAGAAGAGCTACCATCAGAATGGTAGAAAAACACACACTATGATGGTAATTGGCAGTCCAAAACACAGATATTTTGAAGTAGAGAGCAAAGAGCTTGTTAGCATATAGTTACGTCGTTCTGTTCAGGAAGATAGATGTGTGGCTATATACTGAGAGGAAGTGAATATGGACTTGGGGCTTGAAAGCATTCTCTGAGAAGGCAATAAGATACCTATCACTACGTTGGGATGATGGCCCACAGTTTTTGATAGTAGCCTGTGGACCCAGCTACATTTAAAATTATAAATTTGCTGGGAAACTCGGGAGCATAGTTACGAGATTTATCTAGGATGGTCCAGTAATCCAATAGTTGGAGACTGATAAGTCAGGTGGATGTGAGGAAGATAAAGGTCTTGACTGATCAGTAAATGATGATCAGGGGACAAGTGAAGTTTCCTGCAAGGAGAGTAAAACGGGGAAAACTGGAAGGGCTCCAGGGACTGATGGTCCCAAAGAGGCCACAAACAGTCTGTGATTTTACTAGTGTTTTTATTCTTCTCAGAATGGGTACAATATGTGCTGGCTGAGTGGCCTGAATCCTGAAGATGAGAAAACTAGTTACCTTTTCAACCTTATTAGATGCTATTGTTTAGCCTTGTGTTAAGTTCTTCAACTATAAAACCAGTTGCCAACAAGTCAACTCCAACTTGTGGTGACCTTGTGTGTATCAGAGTGGACTGTGCTGATTTCAATGGCAGAATTTTTGGCAGTTGATTGCCAGGCCTCAAACTTCAGTGTTGGTTAGCAGCTGAGTATGTTAACCATTTCCATCACCCAGTTGAGTATGTTAACCATGTTAACCACTCTTCAACTATAGGTCAGTTTCTCTGCTATACTGCATGCCACTTATAGATTGTATTTATACATTTCTCTTCTTCCTCTTCCTTCCACCTCACAAACCTGCCAAAGGCTCACTCGTAAATGCCCGTGGAATATCCCCGCATTCTGTGCCAATGGTGAGATCTTCCATGGCTAGTTAGAAGACTACCTAGACACACTGTTATTTAAAAGGAGCATACCTGATCTGTTCTGTCTCTCGACTCTATGTCCACAAACTCCAGAGGATCCTCGACTTTGGAGTTCAAGAATAGGAGCAGAAGAATCTTCGGTGACAGATAAAGGGGACAGCTGTCTACTGATGCCACTGAGTGAACTGGGGCAGTTGGCTCCTGGTTTACATCGAGTGACTGATGATCTCGAGGTACCTGGGAAGAAAGAGTTCACACCAGCTTGAGAACTTCCTGGAGAAAAAACTGGCAGCAGATTTTAAATGTCTTGGCAGTGAAATATATGGAGGCAATAAGCATAATCTTGACTGAATATTCAATGAGCTTATTTATAATTCTACAAAAGGGGCTCCTGAAAAGAAAATACTATTTTGACAAGGTCTGTGTCCCTAAGATAAAGTGTCTTTTTAGATAAATTAACTAGAAATGATTAGCAGATGGTGTTGGGGTTTATGCATGTGTTCTGAATTAGAACTTTGAGCACAGCCAACTAGTTCACCTCAGGAAAAGCAGTTATGTTACTCTTGTTTCCACCATTTTCTTCCTAAGACTGCGTTGAATTCCTAGCTGGTAACACTGCCAATCGTGTCTCCATTTACATCCACTATACACTCTTCTATCAGATAAATCACTAAAATCCAGCATTTTGGTGTCTCGTCAATCACCACTGGGCTCTCTCTAGTGCAATAAATGAAAATCCAGCCTTTAGAGCTCTTCACAGGCCAACCCCTCTCCTATCCTTATTAATATTCCAGAATCTCCAATCTAGGGCTGGTTTAAATCAGTGTAATTGCACAAGGTGGAACACGTAGAAGAGGACCCCATGCTTGAAGGTTAATGTCCTACAATTGCTGTCTTGAAAAATTCTTATTAATTTTATCTCTGAATTTGTGACGTGTTAGTGACATCCGGAGAGACAATGGAGCACATGTGGGGGCTTGGAGCCTGCTGCTGTCCTCTCCAGCAGCCCATTCTTCTCAGCTCAGTCTAGCAACCACTGCTGTTCTCTGTCCACTGCAGGGGTCTAGATGAAGGCGTAGGTAGGGTTGGGGTCATAGGGTGAAGTCTCCGGAGCTGAAGTCCCACACTCACTGAATGAGTATCACCATGCCCAAGTGAGCATACGTTAAATAGCAAATTCAAAAAAAAAAATCATGATAGGTCGATAAAGATTTTTGAACCAAGGGCCCTATATTTTCATTTTGCACTGTTATGTGCCATAGAGTTGGCCCCGACTCACAGCGACCCCTTCTTGGGTTTCCGAGACAGTATCCCTACGGAAGTAGATTGCCCAACCTTCCTTCTGAGGAGTGGTTAGTGGGTTTGAACCGCCAGCGTTTTGGTTAGCAGTCAAGTGACTTAAGCACTATGCTACCAGAGCTCCCTCTTTTTGCATTATGACTCTCAAATTATGCAGGCAGTCCTGCCCCAACCTAAATATCATCCCAACAAAGCTGGTTCATGGGGTGCTTTATTGAGATGGTAGAGAGGGGTACCAAAAACCCAAACCAAACTCACTGCTGTCAAGTTGATTCTGACTCATAGCAGCCCTAAAGGACAGAGTAGAACTGCCCTGTAGGGTTTCCAAGGCTGTAAATCTTTATGGAAACAGACTGCCACCTTTTTCTCCCATGGAGCCACTGGTGGTTTTGAACTGCCAACCTTTTGGTTGGCAGCCAAGCATTTTAACCACTGCACCACTAGGGCTCCTGAAAGGAGGGTAGATGCTGTCAAAAGAAAGGCAATGGTATCCTGGCTTTAATTTGGCTTTAAATACATCATATTATGTTCTTGGTGAGTAATCACTCGAAGCAATCAAATCAGAACCTTGAGAAGCAATGGTGTACAGAATAAAGAATGTTTTGAGTTCTTGAACCATCATCAACAAGAACCTAACAAAATAGCAATGTAATCATAAATGCAAGTGTTAGCTCCACCATCCAGTTCTCTCCACCCACAATAAAAGCTTATCTTGCTTTATTTATTTATCTATTATTTTGCTTTTCTTGGGCAGTAGAAGTAGATATATAGCTAGCTGTACCATATATCATGAAGTGCCTCAGGTTGACCTAATTAAAGTTTATTACTTAATTTTGGATTTGAAAAAATATAAAAAAACATATGTTGTTGTTGTTATTGTTGTTATGTGCTATGGAGTCAGACTGACTCATAGCGACCCCTCCTTGGGTTTCCGAGGCAGTATCACTATGGAGGTAGACTGCCCACCCTTCCTTCCAAGGAGTGTGTGGTGGGTTTGAACCTTCAGCCTTCTGGTTAGCAGTCAAGTGCCTTAGGCACTATGCTAGCTCCTTGAAATCTCAACAGAAGCATTACCTACTAATTGTTATATTTCCATTAATAGTACATTAATAGTGTTATTATAAAGTGTCAAAAATGCATAAGGATTTTATCTCACATATTCAAAGTGTTTCCTGTATCTTCCATAACTATGTTTCTAATTGGATGTTTCTAATGTAGTATTTCAAATTCAATGAAAAGTTGTCTAAATTTCAATGAATTCAATTTATTCATGCTTTTAAAGAAGGGTTGGCACTCAGATACTTCAAAAGTCTTTTATTTATATTTCAAGTACAAAGTTTGCCTTCTCATCCTTTCTTAGGTTAATATTGTATTTCATTTTAGGTTACTTACCAAATGTATGTGGAAATGAGGAAGTCCAGAAAAATAAGTAGGGTAGCAAGTTGAGATGAAGTTGAGATTAAATATAGGTTACCATTATCTAGAAAGTTAGTAAACAATGGTAGGTATGGAATGTTGACTGTGTAAGCCATGTCAGTCATCTGCCTTTCTTCTTCATTTTCACTGAATTATTATGTCCTTGCAACTGTACCTACCATTCTGTATATAATATAGCTCAAATCCCATTGCTTGCTGCCAGCTAGCTCTTACTGGTTGGTTTGGAGAAGAGACCTGAGAGTAGTTCAGTCACTAAAGACATTTAAAATAATGTCCTACAAGACAAAATTCAAACTTGAGAGTGAGGCCCAGAGGCATGTTCTAGACTTGGACCATGTTGCTGTTGTTAGGTGCCATTGAGTCGGTTTCAACTCATAGTGACCCCATGTACAACAGAATGATACACTGGCCAGTCCTGCACCAGCCTCTCAGTCCTTGCTATACCTGAGCCCGTCATTGCAGCCACTGTCGAGGGCCTTCCCCCTTTTCACTGACCCTCCACTTTACCAACCATGATATCCTTCTCCAGGGAATCCTCAATTTTAGGTAAGGAAGACACTGCCCCATGCTATATGGTCTTTTACGATTCAATTAACATAAAGCCAGCCCTGATAGAAATAAATACCTAGAATGTTGTCCAGGAAGCAGCTAAGGATTATAAATAAATCATGCCTATTTTCTATGCTACAGTGAGTGCCTATGGAAGCAGGGCTTGCAAATTCAGTTAGTGAACAATATTCTGACTTTAATAGGTATTGAGAATAAATTGTATTAGGAGTGATAGGATGGAAGTCTCTCATTAGTCACTAGATGGTTCCCCCTCCCTCATCAAGATATCTGCTCACCTAAGCTATAGTAGTAAGGCCATATTGGGGCATTTTTCATATTTGTCTAGACATAAAATAGGATTTCTTCATCAGCACTGGTTAGACACTGCATACTTGCAAATTCAATTTGATTCAAGTAGCTACTAAACACCTATTATGGGGCAGATATTGCATAGGTGCAGGACTTAGACAAATGAAGACACAGTCCATGCCCCCATGGAGCGCTCAAGTCAGTATTAGTCAGACATGCAACGAGTTAACCATAATTGAATGTGAACTGGTTGTCAGAGGAGCAAGAAGAAAGAGAATGAGTGGATTAAGTCAGGCTGATGCAAGGAAAGCTGTATAGGAGGTTACATCAAATTTGGCTTTGAAGGATAAATAGGACATTGGCAAGCAGAGTTTTAGGCAGAGGAACAGGCAACTCCATCTATTATGCATTGAATTGTGTCCCCAAAACACACGTGTCAACTTGGCTAGGCCATGAATCTCAGTATTAGGTAACTTTCCTCCATTTTGTGATCTGATATAATTATTTTATGTGTTGTAAATCCTAACCTCTATGATGTTAATGAGGCAGGATTCACAGCAGTTATGCAGGACACAATCTACAGGACTAGGTTGTATTTTGAA